CAGAGCTAGGAGGGCTGCCGTGAGCTCAGGTGGGCTGCCGTGAGCTCAGGTGGGCTGCCGCGAGCTCAGGTGGGCTGCCGTGAGCTCAGGTGGGCTGCCGTGAGCTCAGGTGGGCTGCCACGAGCTCAGGCGGGAGAAAGAAAGTGCTTTAGTCAGTGGGGTGTTGTGGGAGAGGAGAGAATGCATTGCATTTATTAAAGAAAAAAGAAAAAAAGGAAATTTGAAGGAAAAGAGGGAGCATGGGGGGTGGGTGGGAGGCATCAGAAACGGAGAAAGAGAGGAGGAAGAGGGAGCGTGACGCTGCAGCTTTAAACAGAATGACAGAATTGAACCCTCTAAAAAATGCACCCTCTACTATGAGGCAGGAGAACTGCGTGCCTCAACTACCTTGGGATTTTTTGGGCTTTTAACCCTCGCTTAACTCTGCTCGAGCGCCTAAAACGTCAGACTAGATGAGGCATGCAGTTCCCCTGCCTCATAGTAGAGGGCGTTTTTTAAGAGGCTTTTTTAAACAGGCGGTCATTCACGGTGTGGCAGTAGCTAGCTAGCCTAACCTCAGCACTCGCCTTTTCCCTTCACATTTTTTTCCTTTTCATGATTGACAGTGGTGAGGCTGTGTCTCCCCTGCCTCCCCTGACTGCACGTCACTGGACTGTGACACTAGATTTCTAAGTAACAAATCTGTTACTTAAACCTAATGGCCAGCTTTCTACTTTGTTTTTCCTGTGCACTGCTTTCCCCAAAAATAATTGCCGGAGGAGAATGAATAAATTATCCCCAGGCCCTGAACTGAACATTGTCATTTTGTTTTAACTATAAGGCAGGTTTCAGTCTTTGTTTCTAAAGACATCATTACTTATCTGCTGTACGGTTTAACTCAATCAGTCCTTTTCGCAATTTTGGTGCCCAATGGATACTAATGTTATTAGAATGACAACATACCTTTAATAAAAGCAGTAGTCAAAGAAACTTGATGACAGTGGAACAACGTGTCCCCAGTAGTCGTGGATGCTCCAACACTGGAGGTTTTAAAGAAGAGATTGGACAACCATATGCCTGAAATGGTATAGGATTTCCTGCTTGGGTGAAGGGTTGGACTAGAACAGCAGTCACCAAATATTGGTCCACCGGTGATCCATGGTAGTCTGCAAGAAAATTTTGGTGGTCCACAGAAAAAATATATGCATTATTATATTGCACTAAATACTATCTATCTTTTTAAAAATCATATCAGTGGTCCATGGGATTCAAAGTTATGAATTTAGTGATCCCTGAGGTCTGGAAAGTTGGTGATGCCTGGACTAGTATCCCTCCAAGATCTATTATTCTGTTAAACATTTTTCTCCTCATTATATTCTCAGGAGCATGGCTTAAAGTAGCAAAGTGCACCTTGTTCTATATAGTTCAAGACTCCTCCACTTACAATCACAATTGAGCCCAGAATTATGCTCATAAGTCACTCAATGGCCACTGATAAACTCAAAAGCTTCAAAATCAGATTCTTGGCAACCACATTATCCCCTTTTCTTTGCCCAACCAACTTTTACTATACGGGGAACCTGATTACCCAATAATAAGGAGTAAAAGCCTAGGGACTCCCTCATGTGAGCAGATGCAAAAGTAAGTGAAAGAAAGAAAGAATAAATAAGGCCAATAAATAAATAAAGGAAAAAGCCACCACACTAAGCCATCCCGCCATCTCAGGTTACCATCTGTTTCTACTTTCTCTTGAGGTTTTCCTTTTTTTTTTCCATTTCTTCTACCATGTCTGTGACCAACTAGTATCTCTTTACTTCAGACATGGCTGAGGCAGAACCAGGACCAAAACGTCCCTTTCTCATGACTTTTGGGCCTTTAGATGATCTGCGAGGAAACAAAAGACTCTTGGATAACTCGTATTTGTCATTTCTCCAACCTTTTAATCTCTCACTCAGCACTATTTTGATCTCTCTCTCTCTCTCTTTCTTTTTTCAAAGTAAATTCTTCAATCTGTTGTGGTTCAAGAAAATACACAAGCTCTAGATCTGACAATACATTTACATTTAGTTGGAGAAAGAAAACAATTATAAATGGGAAACAGATTTATTCACATTCAGTGTATTAATGAAAACCTCTTTTAGAAATAAAACAATAATAAGACTCAAAGAGTCTTAGTATACCATGTGGGAGAAAAAATAACAGCCCAGCAAGTCCAGTTTTTATTAACAACTCATCAGTAAGCAGGTTGTGATTCATAACGAAGAATTTACCCCAAGGAATCCCACAGGATTGTGAGCTTTTTAGTTGCTTGAGGAAACACATATATTGTTCCACTCAATTTCATTTCCATAAAAATCCACTAGTTAGCACATTATTGTAGAGCTGTTGTGACAAATCAGGTGAAGTAGCTTGGCTACTTAAAATAGAAGCTTTTCAGCTGTAGGTTTTAAGATTGTTTTTAAAGTTAAAAGAAGGTTCTAAATGGTAAGGAAGCCATTATTTAAAAAAAAATCTGCAAAAAAACATTTGTTTCCCCCCCTCCAAAACAACTTCTAACAACAAATATTTTTCTGAGTATTTTTCACCTTAAACCATTGTTGTGCTTTACAGTGTAAATGTATTTCTAAACCTAGAATTAATTAATACTTTATATAAAAGTATTTTCACGTAGCAAACATGAAATGTTTAACAAATTCATGAGCTGTAAAAATGAAGGCATTTATCTCTCAACAAAAGTAATGCAGGTAATCCTCAACTTAGAATCGCAACTGGGTTCCAAAATTACCTTGCCAAGCAACGTGGTTTTTAAGTGACTCATGGCCATTTTTTTTTTTTTTGCCACAGTTGTTAAGTGAATCGTGTTACTCAGAAAATCTGGCTTCCCCATTGCTTGTTGGATTCTGGCTGGGAAGGTGAAAGCCAGTCTGGTTTAATGGTTAAGGCACAAGTTTAGAAACTGGGAGACTGTGAATTCTAGTCCCATATTAGCCATCAGAGCCAGCTGGATGACTTTGGACCAGTCACTCTCTCTCTCTCAGCTCACTTCACAAGGTTGTTGTTGTTGCAAGGAAAATAGGATGAAGGTACGTTGAATATGCTCACCTCCTTGAGTTATTTGTAAAAATAATAAAAATGGGCCACAAACCAAACAACCAATAAATAAACTGGCAAATAATGATCACATGAGCCTGGGGTGTTAAAGCTGTCATGAATACATGCCAGTTGACATATGGCTGAATTTTGATCACATGACCATAGAGCAGTGGTGGGTTCCGGATCCCGGTGCAACCAGGATGGTGTAGTGGCGCCTGGCGGCCATCACATAAACATGTGCAGCGTGCGCATGTGTCCTTACCTCCTGTGATGCTCTGCGATGCTCCAGCGTACTCCCCGTGCGCATGCGCAGAAGCGACGAAAAGCTCAAATACAGGCAAGGACGGTGGCGGGCGGGCCCTCCGGAACACCGTACAAGAATGGTACCGGGGCGTACTGCCTACAACCCATCACTGCCATAGAGATGCTGTGACAATTGTAAATACAAGGACTGGCTGTAAGTCACTTTTTTCAGGGCTGTTATAATTTTAAATGGTGATTAAACAAATGGTTGTAAGTCAAAGACTACCTGCATTACCTCATTATTTCAAATCTTCATAAGGANCATCCAGGAAACATTAATAACATCCCAGGGCCAGTTCAGACAACAGGCATGAGAAGATGCAGCCCTAATTTAAAACAGATTTTCCTCCCGCTAGGTTCGAAACACATCCTGTGTGGGATACATTCCTTATGTGGAAATTTCCAACGTGGCATCGAGGATCGTTTGTGCCAGTCGATTCGCGTCGGATGCAAATCTTGTTTCTTTCGCATCTTGGCAATTGGCTGTTTTCACATTTTGGTAGCGAAATTTGCTGAGGCGATCCTTCCAGAAGACGAACCCGCCGTGTGGGTAGTCCTCGACTTACAACCGTTTGCTTAGAAGTTAAAATGGGTTGACTGGGAACCAGTCCTCGTATTTACAAAGCACTGCAGCATCCTCACGGACCCATGGTCCAAATTTGGGCATGCCTTCACTAAGGTTTAAGCCTCCCAGGGGTCATTGCGAACCCTGTTTGCAACTTTCCGACGAGGAAATTCAACGAAGGAAGCCAGATTGGCTTAACAAACCCCGAAATCACTCAACAGCTGCAGCGATTTGTTTAACCACTGTGGAGAAGGTCATAAAATCGGGCAAGTCACTTAACAACTGCCGTGCTTAGCAACGGAAATCAAATGTGGTTGTAAGTCGAGGAATACCTGTACCGGGAACAAACCTCAATCTAGAAGCAACTTAGAACTGAGGAGAAATTTCCTGACAGTGAGAACAATTAATCAATGGAACAGCTTTCCTTCAGGAGTTGTGAATGCCCCAACACTGGAGGTTTTTAAGAAGATATTAGATGACCATTTGTCTGAAGAGGTGTAGGGTTTCCTGTCTAGGTAGGGGTTGGACTAGAAGACCTCCAAGGTCCCTTCCAACTCTGTTATTGTATTCTATTCTTATTCCTATTCTATTCTATACTTATTCCTATTCTATTCTTATTCTATTCTATTCCTATTCTATTCCCATTCTATTCCCATTCTATTCCCATTCTATTCTATTCCTATTCTACTCTATTCCTATTCTATTCTTATTCNCACCCCCAAAAAATCAAAACTAAAACCCCAATGATTGACCAAGATTGGATCCTGGGACACGTATATATCTGCCTTCATCCGGGAAACAAAAAAAAACAATAATTTTGGAACTCCTTCTGAGGAACTCTAAAGCAAAATTTATCCCTGCTAGGCTAAATTATGGTCGATTCTTGTACAGAAAGCCGGGGATTGTCGTTTATATCCCTTGGCTGCATCCTCTTCTAAAATTTTAAACTGGAACACCGAGCCATTCTCAGCAAACTTTCAGTTTAATCTACACACACACACACACACACACACACACACACACACACCATCATCATTCTTCGGACCCTGTTTTGCCCTACCTTTCAAATTCAGCGTCTGAAGCTGAGCGAGATCCCCGATCGAGTCCGGAAGAGCTTTTAAAACATTCTTTTCCACGTTCAAAACCTACCAAGGACAGAAACAAAAGGGACAAAAACGCACCCCTTGAAATTGGTGTGTCGAGGCCACCCTGCGCGATCTGTGAAACCTCCGGCGCAAAGGACTTGGTGCAAATGTGAAAACCACATCGAGAGGGCTAAAAAAAAGGACCACGTTGGTTCCTGAAACTGCCGAGAGATTCCCTAGAGCCTCTGTTCTGAGCCAGGCTTCCTTAAAATGCGTGAAGCAGAGGGGGGATCCCGGCAAAACTCCTTTTATTGCCACGACTGTCAATTCCTTTCATTCACAGTCCGCAAAGCTTAGCAAGCAGTCTTTCAGAGGAATGTTTATCCACACGAACCTTATCTCGTTTGGAAGACTGCCAGATAACTAGTTTCCAAACGCAGAGCAGGGCAAAACTTGGCACAGAGTCTCTTATAGTCACAAACAGAACTTCCCACTCTTGAAATGACAAATTGTTTCCTGCAAACTCCATTCCCCATTTGCTCCTCTTTTGTTTCCTCTGGGAGGGGCCAATCACCTCCAAAGTGTGGCTTTACTCTTAAGCCGACCCTGATTTCTTAGTTGTTCTTGTCTTCTGGCAGCTCTGTACATGTGCACACTGGGAACAGGCTCCAGCTGTTCCTCTGCCTCATTGCTTTCTAGCTCCCTCTCTGCCTCCGACGCAGATCCCTCGTCTGAGCTTTCCTCAGCCCCCAGGACTGGCCCATCTTCCTCCCCAACCTCCTCACTCTCCGACTCTGCTGCCAGCTCCAGTGGCCGCTGGCGGGCTACCATAGCATCCAGCGTTTCTTTACCTGAAGAGAAGTCAACTGGCCGATATCGGCGGGAAGGGAGGTCAGCTGGTTGTCATGGAGGTCTAAAACCTGGAAGAGAAGGATAAAGACATCCATAACAATCCACTCCCAAGGGCAGAGATGCTTTTTGATTATTGTTCAACTCCAATAATCTCCAAAACTCCAAAAAAATTCAACTCAAATAAGCCTAGCCTCCATGGTGAACCACAAAAGCTGATGTGATTATAATCCAGAAACGAGGAATGGAAGAATACGGCAGCAGCTCCAGGCCGACCCCTGAAAAGCTTGCTAAAATACAGGGGAAGTCTTAAACTAGGTTTCATTGCTTGTTCTTTTGATCCGGGACCTTAAAAAGCTCCCGCCAACAGTTAACGAAAAGAACTGCGAATCACCTTTACGGTTACAAGATTAGAGAGGCTGCAGGATTTCGGGACGAGGGACGTCAAAAAATTCGTGTGAACGATCAGCACCTGAAAGAGAAAACAACGGAGAAAGTGTTCCAACCGACCCAGAAAGGAGAGAGTAGTTAAACTGGTAGTTATCTGAAAAGTTTGAATGAAAGAATTTGACAGAAGAGTTTGAGATAGGAAATACATCGGCTCGAAGAGAAGCCTGCATATAAATGCAAACAACAGGAAGAGTGGATCAAACACTGATTCTCGCAATTTTGAGAATTTGAGGAACGCATTTCTGGTTTATTGAAACTCGAGATATTTAATGAAATTCCTCCTAGTACCTCTGAACAGTCCTCTTTAAAATGAAAATCATCAGATTTTTGGACATCCAGAACAGCTTCTCATATTTATATATAAAAAAAGTGAAATACCGCTCATGCATCAACACGAAACCTCCAGAACCGTAAAGCCTACAAACTTGAAATTTGGCACATATGTTCCTCTTGGCTTCTAGGTGCTCGCTAAGAAAGGGTTTTTTGATTATTAGTATCAGATCATTGGTATTTCTTATAGTACTATTAACACGCTCTGATGCTAAGGAGTTAGGCATTCTACCCCCCCTCCCCACCTGAAAAGAACTCTGTTCCAACTGCCACTTGGATGTGGGCGTGGCCAGTGTATGACACAACCATCCTGAAGGCTGGGAGCTTAGACATTCTACTCCTCCTTCCCACATGAAAAACACTCTTATGCTAAGGAGTTAGACTGAAGGAGAGAAGGGGATGAGATAGGAGAGGCCTCTGTGGGGCAAGCCTGAGGGAGAGAAGGAGATAGGAGAGGATCAACGGGGCAAGCCTGAGGGAGAGAAGGGGGAGAGGCTGCTCGTAACTACTCATTTATTTTCCAGTNTTTGCTCTGTGGGAAGTTCACTTAGGACTGCACCTTGAGTAGAATACAAACCCTTTGGGAATCCTGGACCCAAATAATAAATTGCCCTGATAAATCAGGGTGTAAAAGGGTTTTTTTTTGGGGGGGGGGTGCATTTTGAAGCTTGGGAAATAGTAACCAGAATAGCTGCGTTTGGGATCTGTTGGATTTATCTAGGTGTTCACCCTGCTTATTGTTACAGCACCCTTGTAACAGGCCTGTCATCTTACTGTCGCCTAGTAAATGGTTCAGGCATTTCACAAGTGGTGTGCTAAGTCAGAGGCCCGGCACACAAAGATTTGTAAAATAGGGCTCGTGCATGTTTTGTTGAGTAAATCACACTGGGTTGAGTTCACCCAACATTTGAAGCCGACTTCAGATTGCATTATGGCTCAATTAAAAGCCACAGAGACTTTTAAGTCGTCTGTTGGCCTATAATGAGCTGGATCAGATTGTTTAGAGCAGAAAGCCGATTCTCCTTCCAATCTCACAATTTGGCTGTTTGCCCCCCCTCCTGTAGATTGAGGTGGTCCCATCAGCCTCTGCCCTGATTATCAAAGCTCTGAAGGAGCCTCCGCGTGATCGCAAGAAGCAGAAGAACAGTGAGTGTCTGCTTATTTGATTTAAGAAAATGTACATTTCCTGATTTCCGTAAGACTGCTCAGCTGCAGACTTGGCCCAACTCTGGGAAAGAGGCAAGGCTTGAAGATTGTATGAAAGTCAGCCAAATATGTATAGGAGGTTGTGATGCAAGGCAGCTTGGAAAGCCCATGTTTAAAATTACTTTCATAATTGTCACCTCTGGTAATACAGATAATCCTCAAATTAAACAGTTACTTTAGTGACTGTCCAAAGCTACAACCCTGAAAAAAATGACCGGCGACAGTTTTTCCCATGGCCATCGTATCATCTGCATGGCGGTGTGATCTAAATTGACAACCGAGTCATATTTAAGACAGTTACGCCGTCCCTTTTTATGACCTTCGGACAAGCAAAGTCAATGGCTTTGACTTCACAACCCTGTTCACAATTTAACAATGGCAGAGATTCACGTAAGAATTGCGGCCAGAAAGGTAAAAAGGGGCAAAACTCAACTTTCTCGCTTTAGCACCAGGAATGTTAGGCTCAATTGCTCAGTCATAAGTCAAAGGCTACCTGCATTTGGAAGCCTGTTAATTGGGGTTGGAAAAGGACACACACACACACACCCTTCTTGGCGTGTGCCCAGGTTTTAGGGGTGAGGACACAGCAGTGATGTTTTCCCCGCCAGCCACCCGCCACTGCGCTTGCCTACTTTCAGCCGTGGCTTGCGCATTCCAGTGGTGAGCTGAGAGGAAAAAACCCTTTCAAGGAAACAGAGCTATTCTCTCCGTGGGTAATTCTGTGCCGAAGACTGGGAACATAAGCAGAATCGCGAGCGTGCAATGTTGTTCTGGAAGATGTGGTGATCGTCTCTGTGTCCTTGCAAAAATCCAACTGGGCTCCTGTTTTTTTTTTTTTTTTCCTTTCCTCCCCCCCTAACAGTTAAACACAATGGCAGTGTCCCCTTCGATGAGATCGTCAACATCGCCCGGCAGATGAGACACCGTTCGTTGGCCCGGGAGCTCTCAGGTAACATTGGGATCACTTCTCCAATGAAGGCGGAAGAGTCTTGTTCTCAGCAGATGACAGTTGGGAACTTAGAATAGGCTAGGCCTTGGAGGTCTTCCAGTCCAGCCCCCTGCTCAAGAAGGAGACTTTATGCCATTTTGAGACAAGCGGCTGTCCAGTCTCTTCTTTAAAAGCCTCCAGGGTATTGTGGCCCGCCAGCAGGGATAGCAGATTCGGACAGTGGGGAGGAAGCCAGACCAGTCCTGGAGTCTGGGGAAGGCTTTGATGAGGGGTCTGTTTCAGAGGCAGAGAGGGGGCCAGGGCCATCTGGCAGTGATCAGCTGCCTTCAGAGTTGGAGATCAGTGAGGCAGAAGAACAGCTGGAGCCTGTTCCCAGAGTGCGTATGCTGAGTGGCCAGACAAAGGGAACAGCTAAGGAACAAGGGTCGACTTGGGAGTAAGGCCACAAGGGGACGATGAATGGCCCCTCTTAGAGAAAATAACAGAGGAGCAAAAGGGGAGGGGAGTTTGCAGGAGACAATTAGTTCCCTTCGCCCTACACCAGGAGGCTGAAGCAGACCTCGTCGGAATATCTCCCTCCCCCTCCAACCTGCACAAAAAGACCCCGAAGGGGGAGACTGCAGCAACACCAACATTCATTGCATGTATCCGTCCCAGGGGCTGTAGTTTGAGGACCCCTGATTTAGTGCAATATAAAAAATGCAAATTTTCTGTGGACCACCAGTTGGTGACCTGGGTTAGGGTCAGTTAGCTGGCTTTTTCCTCTCTCTGCTGCGGCTCCGTCACCGGTCAGCGCCACAATTTTGAGAGGAGCTTCCGGGGGGGAGGGGGAAGCACACTGCGCCAGGAAAAGACACTATGGCAAGGGGAGGGTTTTCCAGTTGTCTCCACAATTGATAGGGCTTTTGGTTATGACAGGAAGAGGAAAAAGGATGCCACGCTAGGAGGAGACTCTATGGTGGGGGAACCGAACTTCCGTTCAGCTCCAGAATTGAACAGGGGGGCTTCCGGTTAGGACCTTTGTGGCTCCTGGTGTTTTCTGTGGGAAACTGGTCCAAATGGTTCTTTGAGTGTTTAACTTTCCCGACCCCTGAACTAGGGTGACTTTTGAATGTCTTCGGCCTTTGTACGTTTTGGATGAGAGTGTGTAAAGTGTGTGTGGTGCGTCATACACAGCAGGTAGGCACCCATGGGTATTCAGATGTTCTTGGCCCTTTTGCAGGAACTATTAAGGAGATCCTGGGAACCGCTCAGTCGGTTGGCTGCAGTGTTGACGGTAGACACCCCCACGACATTATTGATGACATCAATAGTGGGGCAATTGAGTGCCCAGCGGTGAGTATTTGCCTTCCTGCAAATCGATCGATCGATCGGAAGCTAATTTAAACTGCAAGCTTTTGCGGTTGTGATTTAAGGTGTTGGCCTAGAAACCAGGAAAACAGTGAGTTCTAGCCTCCAACTTTAGTCGTGAAAAATGGCTGGGGGAATTCCAGCCAATCACCAGGAGATGGTGAGTTCTAGTCCTGCCTTAGGCATGAAAGCCAGTCTCTCTTTCTCAGCCCAGCCCACCTCACTGAATCATTGTTGGGGGTGTGTGGTAGAAATGGAGGAAGGTAGAATTTTATGTATTTTGGCTGCCTTCAGTTAAAGGTGGGATAAAAAGAAATTAATAAAGAAAAGAATCTTAACACCTGCCAATAGAACATTCCTTCCCTGCTCAGGGTGGTTGCAGGAGAGAGAGAGAGGGGGCTATCCGTGAATAATAATCTTGAGTTGCTTTTTATTTCCTTTCCTTCTCCAACAGAGCTAAGCGCCAATGGAATGGGCTGCATGCAACTGTATTTCTATCGTTCAGTAACAAAAGTAGTTAGTTTGGCTGCTGCCATGAAATCTTACCTTCACCAACTTGCCACTTCGGCTTCTTAGGGCGTGATCCCATCACAGCCCCTTAAAATGTGGGAAAAGTTTGTGTACTCATTTCAAAAATAAAAATTGCACCTAGTTTAACTCCAGCTCTTTGTCAACTCCTTATTTTAAAACCAATTACACCAGGTTTGCTTTGTGGCTAAATTCTCGACAGGTAATTCCTCCACTTAACAACAGTTCATTGAGTGAGTTTTCAAAGTTACGACAGCACTGGGAAAAAAGTGACATCCGTTTTTCATGCTTAACAACCATCGCAACATCCCTGCGGTCACATAATCAAAATTTGGATGCTTTGGCAACTGGTTCGTTATTATGACAATTACAGGATGCTAGTCATGTGATCTCTTATGACCTCACAGCGTCAGTGGGCAAGATTCACTTAACCCTGTTACTAACTCAGCAACTGCAGTGATTCACCAAACAGCTACGGCAAGAAAGGCCATTCAATTGGGCAAAAATGCACTTAAATATTTGTCTCGCCAACAAATTGTGGTCGTAAGTTGACTACATCTATGACCAAAGAAATATTGTCAGGGATTTAATTTTCAACTCTATCAAAATCTCCCAACTGAGTTACAGCCAAAGGTTTTATTTTCCATTATATAACTTAAAAAATAAGCAAAAAAGTCAATAATTGTTCTGACTTCCTAGCGGCAGCACCGCCTACAGCATACAAATCTGATTTAATTAAAATGCTTGTATACAAACCAAAGGGTTTTTCGCTTCTCCATTGACCTGTTTTTTTTTTTTAATGAAGGTTAAGATCAAGGACGCAGTGGCTAAGGCATTGAGCTTGTTGATCAGAAAGATTGGCATTTTCTATAAAAGTGAGGGCTGTGTTTATTACCCAATGTTATATGCCTCGGTTGCACAGTAAACGTGATTGTATAGAATGAAATGGAAATAAAAAGATTGGTATAAGAAGAAAGATTGGCGGTTCAAATTCCTAGCACTGCGTAATGGAGTGAGCTCCCGTNACTTCCCAACTACTGCATTTATCCAAAGGGAAGAATTCTATTTGACATTCAGGTTTAGGTTTATTAGATTTATATGCCACCCTTCTCCCAAGGACTCAGGGTGGCGTACAACATTAAAAGAAACACATAATACAAAAGTTTTAAAAAATTAAACAGATTATTGTAGAATAGAATAGAAATTCAGATGGTTTTATCGACTCAATGAGTGAACTAGGGAGAACACCAAAAGCTCTCCTTTCATATAGGCATTTTTGGTGAATCTGAAATTTCCAGGGTTCCAGTTATATTGGAGAAACCAAAGTATCTTCCTTTCACAGACTATAAGTCCAGAGTTGTGGCAACATACAAAGAAATCTTTTAATAGCTCGGAAACAGGCCTATGAAAGGGTGACAGAATCTGTCACGTGTTATTTAGAAGCAACAATTAACGGTGCCTTTAAGGGAAACAGGCGAACAATACAATCAGTTGGAATGTCGACATTGGCTGGACCTTGGCCATTAAAGATGTGTCTAGTATTTGTAAACAAGCTTCTGTCTTTACTAAAATGCTTTATACTGCCGAGAATTACTGGGAGTTGAGCATTATGTTTATATTTATACCTGTAATAGAATAGAATAGACTAGGGACTAGAGTAGAATAGAATATGGAATGAATAGAGAATAGAGTAGAAATATAGAATAGAATAGAGAATGTATAGAGAATAGAATGGAATGGCATGGAAAAGAAAAATAGAATGGAATAGAATAGAATATGGAATGAATAGAGAATGGAATGGAATAGAATAGGAAATAGAGTCGAACAGAATAGAAATAGATATAGAAATAATAGAAATAGAAATAATAGAACAGAAAGAGAATAGAGAATAGCATAGCATAGAATAGAATTATTTATTGGCCAAGTGTAATTGGACGCACAAGGACGTCTTTGGTGCAGAAGCTCTCAGTGTACATAAAAGAAAAGATACATTCGACACAAAAGTACACTTAATCATAGGGTACAAATAAGCAATCAAGAAACAATCAGCGCCAGTATAAAATCGTAAGGACACAAGCAACGATGATCTTTTACATGTTTGACAAACTAAACTAAACAAAAAAATAAACAAATTAAACTGCTGCCTCCCCTCTCCCTTTTCTTACCTGCCAGGAAGCCCCATGGCATCGGACTGAATGTAAAAAGTCACTTGGAGTGCCAAGGATCCAGGCAGACACTCAATAGGTGAAGCTGGATTTCTTGCTTGTCATGCCAGCAGGAGGAAGGCTGGTTGAGAGGGCTGGGGAAGGGGCAGAACGGAGGGCCTGGGTAGGGAGGGAGGCAATCAGAAGCCAAAGCAACTGCACTGATCTGATTTTGGGAAGAAATAAACCCCAAATGACTAAATATATCAAAATGCAGGAAATGCAAGACCAGCTGGCTTGGCCACGCCCAGAAACAGGAGGAGGGGGCACAGCTAAGGAGCGGCCACGCCCCCTTCCTTGGATCCACACGCCCAGGGCTTGAAGGGAAAGGAGGAGCCAAGCCCCGCCCACCTCGCCAGGATTGTCCCTCCCCGCGTTCTGTACTTACCGCCTCCGCTCATCCGCGACATTAAAAAAACAAAAAACCTAGGCCCTTTTCTTTTCCCCGCTTCCTCCATACGGCTCGTCACGGGAAACCGCCCTCCTCCCCGGCTCCGAGCCTTCTCGGGCCCGCCAGGGAAACGCGGCCCTTTCAAAAGGTTTCGCTTCTTTGCCCGGTGCCCTTAGCAGACATGGCGGCGGAGAGCGGCAAGTCTCGCGAGAGTTCTGCGGAACTGGCGTTCTCGAAGGAGGAGTCGCGCGCCCCTCCGTTGTCAAGACAGCCGTTGGCCCCGATCTCGCGAGACCTTGGCTGCTTATAGTCCGTGGAGTCGCCATTTCGAGGCCTTTCTAATTTTCGTTGCGGAGTCTGGTTGTCGGTTTGCGAATCCGGCGCCATCTGAGACGGACGTTGGCCGGAGGTTATCGTCGCCACCATGCCGCCCAAGTTCGACCCCAACGAGATCAAAGTCGGTGGGTATGGAGCCTGCCTGGTTCTTCTCTTAGGCGCCATTTAGAACCGTTTTTTCCGTTAAAACTTCCAGCAGAACCAGGAACGTGTGAACGCTTCCATGCGTGTCTATCTTGTATTTCTGTTGATTTTAATTGATTTCAGTATTTTGCCTGATTTTTTTTCAATAATTCCTGTTGTTTCGTCCCCTTTCCTATTGAACCCAATTATTTGGGGGTTATTTAATTATTTCATTAATTTGTTCAGATGATGCAATAATTAAGATGGGCGGCATATAAATTTAACGAAATAAAAAGGGTTTGCAGGGTGGTAAAAAGGGTTTTTTAATATTAATTAACTGCCATCTACTGACGCGTTTTGAAAAAATTCCCCCATTTTCTAGCCTTGGCACAAATTTCAGTGCGCAGTCGCAATTGTGTTTCCCTCTCAATTGCAAAACAACTTATTGCGGGAAGGCTGCCTATTTTTGCCAAGAAAACCTGCCTGGGGAACTCCGTGCCACTGGGATTAATTTTAACAGTTGTCATTGATCCTTATTATATTGTCTTTATTTTTCTTGCAGTGTTCCTGAGATGCACCGGAGGTGAAGTGGGGGCCACTTCTGCTCTGGCTCCCAAAATTGGACCCTTGGGCTTGGTATGCCTTGATTTACATTTTCTGAATTAGAGCTTTTGCCTCGGGGGAATTTAATCATAGAAAATCTCTTTCTGGACCACCTTTTATTTTTTTAAGGAAGCAAAAAGTAGCCCGTTTTGACTTAATTTGGAAGAATTAGCCAGCCTTAGGAGGCTTGTAAATTATGTGTGAACTGTTTAAAAGCTGCTACAATCAATTTTCCATGTTGATTAACCTGTAGTGGGTTAGATTAGATTATTGTTTTATTGATTAGCCTATAGGCTGCATCAGTGTTGGAAGAAATGTCCTCCTGGGTTCGGCTCCAAGTAGGGAAAAAGACACTGGAGACATGGAGGCTGCTTGGAAAGATGGTTTTA